CCGTCCGCAGCGGCCGCGGCGCCGACAACTCCCTCCCGGCCGCCGGAACCCCGCACCCAGCGCAAACCATAATACCGAGCGAGCGACCGGGCGCGGGGAGGGGGTACGCCGCGCTGCGCATGCGCGGGCGGCGTGTCACCGTGACGAGCGGGCGTGGGCGGGGAGGGGCGTGGTCGGAGCGGAGCGGGGCGGGGAGGGGCGGAGCCGGCCGTACCTGCGGGCCCGCGAAGTAAGAGGGAGAGGCGTCCGAGGAGGACGTGGGCCCCGGAGCGGGAAGCGCCGGGTCGCGGGACAATGGCTGGGAAGACGGAGCTCCGGCTGTCGGCGGAGATTCGAGGGAAGCGGCGGCGTCCGCGCAGGACGGCTCTTCGGGTGGGAGGAGCCCCAGCACCTTGCCCTGTGGGGTTCACCCGGCCTCCCGCCCTGGGTTAGCCGAGGCGGCTGTGTGTGCGTCTGTGTACACAGCACATTTTTCTTCTCGGTTTCTTTCTTTGAGAACCCAATTTGAAGGAATTTTGCAGATTTTGTTGCTATTTAAACAAAAAGAAAGCGGCCCGCGTCTGAAGGCGGCGCTGGCCTTAAGGTCAGCAGGCGACCCCACGAGGCCGGAGGAGCTCTGCAAACGATGGGAGAGGCGGCAGCGGCGAGGTGTCCGGGATTCAGATCGCGCCAGGCCTGATCCAGACCTTGGATGGCTTGGCAGCGTGGTTGCCAGGCCGGGCGGCCCCGGAAGAGGGCTTGGCCTCCCCAGGAGAGGCTAGAGAGAGACTCCTGCTCCCGGAAGCCAGGCTGCCATGGGCACCAGCTCCCCGGGGTTCCAGGTGCCCCTAAGCTTTCTCCACGCTCTAGGAAAGGCCTTCTAGCAAAGGACCCAGGCGAGAAGAGGTGCTGAGGTGTCCCAACTCTGGTTGAATTGACCAGATGAAGAAGAGAAACCTAGGTGGCTTTAGTGAAGCTGTTGACCTGCAAATGTCAAAAGCCTTTTCTTTGAGACTCATGGCTCTGCAAGTCTGAAGAAGATTAGGAAGCAAGACAGGATTGTGGCAAGGTTCAAACCTTTTGACTTTGGGTAACAACGTAAGGTTTTCTGTTAAAGGGCACTTCCTGTTGTGGCAGGGTGCACCAGGCAACCTCAGATTGGGCCTCTGCCCCTCTGGGAGCACTGTGACTTGGAAAGACCCCAAAAAAGTAATCTTTTTTTTTTTTAATACTGAGAATCCAACTCAGAACATTGCGCTTGCCAGGCAGTCTGCCACGCAATCTCGGTGCCATTGAGCTACATCCCGGCCTCAAGGGTAATCTCTTTATGTGGAAATTCTGAGGTAGCATCATATGAAGCGAGAGCTCCTAACTTGGATCTGTGGAATTCATTCTTTTGATGGAAGACCATGCACTTTTCCCTCAAGGAGGGCTCACTACTAGTCAGGGAATCCTACAGCCAGTCACACCACTCCGGTGGTCACTCCGGAGCTTCCAGTGGTTGAGAGCCTTGACCCCCAGGTCAGCCTCGGGAGAAATAACTATGACTACACAACAATACCCATAATACCTAAGCCCTTCAAAAATAGAGTGTTTCTGTTGCTGCTGTATGACTCAGACTTTGTCCTCCAAGGAAAAAAACAGTTTAAAAGAGCAAAACAATAAATGAGAAGGGCAAAATAGTAAATTGATTTAAACAAAGTCAGCTTCAATTCTCTTCCAGAGAGGAGGATACGGTGCAGGCTGCGTGGTAAATCATTTATTCATCCACAGTATTTCTTGGGATGCTGCGTGCAGCTGGCAAGAACAGGACTCATTTCCGGTTCCATACCGTAAATCAGTTAGCATGATCTGGTTATGCTTGGGCAATATTTTAAAACATTCGAGCACAAATTAATATATTATTACTTAGCTTTGCATTGAAGCACATGTGCCTATTTTAATGAAGAAACCCCTTCTCCAATCAGCCCTGGGGCTTTCTCCAACACACTTTGCTTTTTTCATGTTAGGTCTTTTTATGGACCTGTAAGAAGCTTTAATTAGATATACAGCACTGTACAAAGTGACAAGATGGAACATGCACACTTGCATTAGAGTCTCTGTGATTCAGATCTCAAAAAACAACATAATGCCACTGATATACAGAAGGAGTTGTTTATTGGAAGGAAACCAGGGAGGTGCAACAAATTAGATCAAGATGTGAAAATCAAGCAGACTCATGAAAAAAATTGCCATTTTTACTTTGGAACTCTCTCCAAAGGAGCATGTGTAACAAGGTTATCTTCTCTAAGGATTGTTTGTTTTCGTAATTTTTTTTTAAATTTAAGGGCTGAGAATATAGTTCAGTGGTAGAGCAATGCCAAAATGTGAGGCCCAGGTTTCAGTCCCCAGCGCAGCAAAAGTAAATAAAGACAATAAATATATTTTTTAAAACATACTCACATATAGCTCAATTTCAAGTATTTTGATATTTATTTAAGTGATTTTTACATTTTTAATTTTGTATGTTAATACATGTATTGTCCTAAATCCTAGCTTCATGCCAAGTGTTACCAAACTAATCCTTCCCTGGAATGGCCTAAAGAGTTTATCGACTTTCTCTAATCACCTCTTTGGCATCAGTTAACATTTCCTCACATTTTTTAAATCCCAAATGTCACTTAAAGCCCAGTGTGTTTGTATGTGTGTGTGGATTGATGTTCATGTGAGTGAAATAATTCTGATTGTTGCCAACAAGAACTGAAAGACTTAACTTACTAATTCAGTTTCTTTTCTTACTATGTTCCTTGTTTAATGATGGAGTTCTGGTCATGTGAGTAGGTCGTTAAATGATTGATAAATGAGGAATTGTAGCAGTGATGATGAACCTGTTAGAGCTATTTGATAACAAATAGCCAGCTGCGGCATGTGTGCCATAGGTTCACCACCACTGGTATATAGTAAGTAAATTACAGTATTCAGAACAAAGTAATGGTCAATGGAAACTCCAGCGTGGTGACTTTGCTTTTATTTGGTACTATAATTTATAACAACATAAAACTATAGTGCTGTACAGCACAGTCAACAAAACTTACAGTGCTGTATAAACGAACTAGAAAGACATAGCTTTAAAAAAAAGACATTCGAGGTTCTATAAACAAGATCTACAGAACTGTACAAAAAATGACATGTCATAAGTCCAAACGGTTGTTAAACGAGGAATATCTGTGATCAGTATCTCTAGTTCTTCTTAAATTAGATGTATTTATCTGTCTCTAGGAATGTGTATCTTTTAAGATGTCTAATTTGTCGCCATAAGTTGTTAAAATAACATATCCTTAAAAGTTTTGATTTTTGTTGGGTTGATAATGATAGGTCTTCTGTCATTGGGAGCTCACTCTCTCCCTCATCAGGCTAGCTAAAGGTTTATCCATTTTGTTTTCTTCTAGAATCAAGTTTTATTCTCATTGTTTTTCTCTATTATTTTTGTTTTTATTGATTTCCACTCTGATATCTATTATTTCCTATCTTCCATTTGTTTGGGGTTTAACTTACTCTTCTTTTGAAACTCTTCTTTTATGAATTAGGCATTAAAATCTGTAAATTGACCTTGAAATCTTTCTTAGCCAAATCTCCTCAGTTTTGATCAGGTGTGTTTTGGTTTCCATTCCTTTCAAGTATTTTCTAAGACCATGTGTTCTTCTTTGATTCATAGGCTGCTTAGAAGCACGTTGTTTGACTTCCTAATATTTGGGAATTTCACTAAGTTATTTATGTTATTGATTTTTCTTTTTTTTCTGTCACTTTCAGAGAACAGTTTGACGATTTTAGTTTTCTTAAGAATATTTGGACTTGTTTTATGGCCTATCTTAAAGAATGCCCTATGTGTACTTGGAAAGAATATGTATGTTGTAAAAATAAATGCTGACGAGGATGCCGGGTGAAGAAACTCTACACTGCTGATGGGAATGCAAATTAGTACAGACACTATGGAAATCATTATGGAGATTCCTCAAAAAACCTAAAAATAGAACTGCCATATGACGAAGCTATACCACTCCTTGGTCTAGACCTAAATGAACTAAAGCCAGCATCCTCTAGGAATACCTGCATCCCTGTGTTTATCATGGTACAATTCACAGTAGTCAAGATGTGGAACGAACCAGCCTAGGTGTCCATCAAGAGATGAATGGATAAAGGAAATGCATTATATTTTATGTATACATTATACATTACAATGTGAATAATATATAATGGAGTATTATTTAGCTGTAAAGAAGGGGAAGTATGTCATTTGCAAGAAAATGGATGGAACTGGAGATCTTCATATTAAAATAAGCCAGACTCAGAAAGACATGTATCACGTGTTCTCCGTAGTATGTGGGAACATAAAACAAATGGTGTGAAAGTAGAAGGGAAACTATTACTAGACAAGAGGAAAGAAATAAGGGAAGGGGAATGTAAGGGGGGCTAATAGGAAAGATGGATCTGATTAAAATACATGCGTGTATGAAAATACTGCCTTAAAACCCAATGTTTTGTAAAATTAATAGACACTAATACAATATAGTTTAAAAACAAGAAGTGCGCATTCTGTTGTTACTGGATGGGGTGATCTGTATCAGTTAGATCCTGTTGGTGAATGGGGTTGTTCAAGTTTTCTTTAATCGTGGTGATTTTCTGGTAGCTATTCTATCGATTATTGAGAGTAGGTATAAAAATCTCCAGAAATTTGCCCTTCCCTTCAAACAAGGGTGAACCCTTGAACAGCAGATGGGGATTTCATGCCATGATCATGTGATACAGCAGAAAGCTGTCTGAGGATCTACTCTCATCACGTGAGCCCTGCAGCAACAGTGAATTCTCTACGGTTTGTGGGCAGAAGAGGAAATTAGACAAACTCAAAGCATGAGAAGAACCCATGTACCGTTGCTTTGAAGATGGAGGGCCCACACAGATAGGACCAGAATGAAGCCTCTAGAAGCTACATGATCCCCAGTCGACAGCTAAAAAGCAGGACCTCAGTCCTACAGCTGCAAAGAATTGAATTCTTCCAGCAACCTGACTGAGCTTGGTGGCAGATTGTTTCCTGGAGCCTCAAGATAACAGCCATTATGTGATTTCAGCCTGGGGAGGCACTGGGCAGAGAACGTGGTCCGGGCAGCTGGACATCTGCCCAACAGAACCATATGTTGCTAAGGCTAAGTTGCTGAGACTGTGGTCACTTGTTAGGTGGTGTTAGAAAATGAATACGGCTGTGTCAAGTTTTACTCCACCATGGTTACAAGTCCTGCCTCCTTGCAGAGTTAATATTGAAAAATAAAATTCGAGATTTCTGAATTCTTTTAACAAATGGAAAGATCTTGTCATTGGAGATTTAAATTTCTAATGTCTGCTAGAACGGAACAGTGGTTCTCCATATACTCCTGCTAGCCAGGGTCTAGCTCCTCTGGTTCACCTGTCTTTCACACCAAGCCAACATCCCCAATTACAGGCCTGGCTGGGGAATTTGTGAATCTGTGACGCTGGATTGGCACGTGCCCAGCTGGTAGTGAATGCTCAGGTGCAGTTGCTGAATTAGTGAGCAGGCAACATGTAGGAGGCACTTACACATGGCCAGGAAATGGACATAGGGGAGGACAAGGCTGGTGGCGATGTATCCTTCAGTGCACCCAGGGAGGGCTTGGGGGTATCCCATCAGTATCCATCTGTCAAGTACCCACTCTAACTACCTGACGTTTATGACAGAGATGTTACAAATGTTGCCTCCTCTTCAACTTCCTGTGAGTGGAATCACGCAGAGTGAGTTCTTTCTTGAACTTCTTTCACTTGCAGAATGAATATTAAAGAGGAAGAAACAAAAAGCAGCTCAAATTTTCTAGAAAAAAAACTTAATAATTAGCCTTTCCCTAGTTAGTTATCATTTACTCCCCTTTTGCTCTTTAACTACATGGACAGCCAAGAGAAATGACCAGTAAGAATAGTGGCAAGTGTCTCTTTCTTCCCCTATAGGAGATATTCAGAGTATTTTAAAAACTGCAGCCACATGGTCACCCCGTGGATGGACATAGAGTGGATGGTCCTGGTGCAGGTGCAGGAGGGCCCTAGGCTGCTGCTGGGCCAGGCCTAGCCTGGGGGGAGGTCTGGGTAGGGTTCCTCAGACAGGAGCTAGGGTGAGCAGGGCAGCAGGACTTGGGTGCTCAGGCAGTGGACACGTGTCAGTGGGTGTGGAGGAAGCTCGGTGCTGAACGCCAGCACCAATGCTGCCCTCTGCCACAACCGTGTGAAGCTGGGCAGCCTCCGCTGATACACAGCCAGGGCAGAGGAAGGCTGCTGTCATGAGGGATCCCTACAGTGCAGATGTGGTGTCTGCCTCGGCGGAGGTGCGACTGCTCTGTCCCCTGCACACATGAGGACCCTGCAGCGGAGGTTGGCATCTGATGCCTGCGCAGGGTTGAGACGGGCACCAGGCATCCGTGTCCACACACCTGAACTTGCTTCCCGAGGGCAACCTCTCAAATGAAGATGTACTCGTTCAGCTCACTTTCCGCTTTGCTGCTCTGCCTCAGAGTCAGCAGTGTTAGACAAACGTTAATAAAGGCAGGATAAAAACACCAAGACTGGTCTCCTAGAAATAGTATCCCTGAATTCAGTTCCTTCCTGACCCCTGCCCTCCTGGGTAATGGGGACCTGCAGGATTAACTGTTCACGGCCTCTTCGTGAGAGGTGCTGGGCTATGATCTGGTTCTGGCCAATGGATCTGGGTGGGATTCAGCTGTGGGATGGGGCAGCAGGTTTGGGAAAAGCTTTTGTTTTTCTCAGATAAAAAGACAGCTGCAGCTGGCTCTGGCCACCCCTTCCCTTCTGTCCTGAATGTGGGCATGATGCCTGGAGCAAGGGCTGCCATCCCAGAGCCACGATGGAGAGGCCAGGAGAGTCACAGCGATGCTGGCTCTGGCCCTCTCGAGCTGCTGAGAAAACGCTGGTAGCTGCCTTCTCCAGACTCCCTGTTCTGCGCATAAACGGAGGGCCGAGGTCTATGCTTACTTACAGCCGGCAGCATTCCTATCTGACCCAACTAAAACGAACCATTGCTTTTCCTGAGAGGCAAGAAAGCGGAGGCACAGTGAGGATTCTCGAAGTCTAGTTAATGTCTCAGAAAGACGGTGTGAGTGCTCTTCGTTTGCTAAGGCAAGAGCCATGTCGAGAAGCCCACTGGGGCGGGTCAAAGGGACCCATAATCTGACCTGGGGGACTTTCGCTGGCCAAGGAGGGGCAACCTGAATATCAAAAGAGCAACGACTGGGGCCTGGGGCCGGGGATTCAGCTCAGTGGTGCCATGGCCTGCCTCGCCAGCGCAAGGACCGGCGTTCGATCCCTCGTACAAGAAAAAAGAGCAATGACTACAGTATTAAAATTAGTCCAAAAATGGCGAAGGGAAGGAATCGAGCACTCATCCTGCCTTTCTTGTATGAACTGCCTTTCAGAGAAAAGGCAAGGAGCTCTTTCAGAAGAACCTCAGCTAATAGAGACGGAGGGGAAGGAAAGGCAGCATTAGGGAACCGCCCTTTGCCACAGCTGAGGAGATAAGGAGCAAGTCAGTGGCTGTCAGCAACTGTCAGGTGTGAGGATGACAGGGAGCTGTCTGTCGGTAGATGGGCGGACAGACTGACAACACCTCAGGGCATCGCTCAATATTTTTATATCTCTAGAAGCAGGACAATCAGAAGTGCATAGCCTCTCTATGAATTTTTCCAGCAAAACAAAACAAAAACCTCTATTTTAAAAAGAATGAAATTTAGGGGAAATCCAGGGTACAGAAAAATGGAAGAACAAATTAAATGACACATTAGCCAGCTCTACTGGCTGCGGGAACTACTGGCTCCTCTCTCCCTCGGCTCATGCGAATGGTACAGCCACAGACAAGGGGAAGAAAGTGCTGTAGGGGAGAGGAAGCTTAGGAATCCTTTCTGTATAATACCACGTGTGGCTTGTGTTTGGAGTCTGCTTTGAACAAAACAAGCATAAATTTGTTATTTGAGCTAATTAGGATGATTTTAATATGCTTTGGATGTTATACCACAGGCTAATGTTATTATAATTATATTTTTTAAAAAGTTCTTTCTTGATACAGATACAGAAATATTTATGGATGACATGAAATGATGTCCCCCAATTTGCTTTAAAATATTTCAACAGAAGACAAAAATTACACACCGTTGTGGGATAGAGGAAACAAAGTCAAGTCATAGCTAAAAAGGTTCAGTCATAATTGTCTCCAATTTCTTGGTATGGTTGAATATTTTGTATAAAAAGGTTTTTTGTAAGGTGATCATTTTATCTTCCTGCATTTTGGATGCTTATGGCAGCAAAATGAGAAAGCAATGCAAAATCCCGTCAAAGCTCCCAAACTCTAGCTCCTTACTTCATGGTGTTATTTCCATGAAAGCTGAAGCAAATGCTACAGCCACAAATCCAGGACACAAAGCAATGCCGGGCAACCGTACTTTAAAGCACAGGATTTTAGGAGTTCTTTAGAACCGCTCATCCTTCTGCCCAGTATACCTTCCACGTTCTTGTCTAATGAGGGACTCCCAGGTATATTTGCTTTTCATTACCGTAAGGAAACACTTGAGGCAGGCTGACTCACTCTGGACACTCAAGGTGCCATCATCAGCGGTGTCTGGGAGGACGTCTTGGCCCGTGGTGTCATAACAGTGGGACCAAGCTGGGTGAGGTGGTGCACACCTGCAATGGTAGCACTCAGGAGGCTGAGGTAGGAGGATCGCCATGAGCTGTAGCCCAGCCCAGTTATATGATAAGACTCTGTCCCCCCCCCCACACACAAAAGTAATGGGACCATATGTGGGAGAAAGAGATCCCACCTCAAAACAGGAAGACAGAGAGCCATTCGGGGGTCTGCCTCACTCTTGTGAACGTTCGGGGTCCCAGGAGAGCTACCTTAAAATCAAAACCATTCATATCTGAGAACCTCTCACTTCCACCTCCTGTCCAGTGCTACTTCTGAGTCTCCTGCCTGATTCCAGAAGTCTTCTTTGTTGTGGCAATATTCCTCCTTACTGGTGCCAAATGTGCCCTATCCGATCCACCACCCCAATGCCAATTCCCACGACAGTGTTCTCTACCATGACGCTTTGGGATCCTCCCAGAAGACGTCATTCAAATTGTTTTAGGCAGAGGAGAGATGACCAATAATCACACAACAAAAAGCATGGTGTTATTTTATTAATAATAATAATGATGATGATGATAAGTAAAATCCTGAGCACTCATATTTTCAGAACTATTACCTCTTCCTTTATTTCTGCTCCAGCTTCTAATTTACTGAGTCAGTAAAAGACTTAATGGGTTTACATGTTTCTTGAGTTTGGCCTCAAAGCCACGGCATACACTGTGGTATGTGTGACAATCCACTCCTGACTTCCGACAAGCTAGGTCTTCCCTGATGGCTCGAGCTGGACTTCACCAGGGGTCCCACTCGACTGTTCCATCCAGCCCACCTTCAGGGAAGAGCTGCCTTTTCTCCGATTCCCTTCAAAGTAACCAGCCACTGCAGGGGAAAT